AAGAATGTTTCATATCGATTTGTATTTTGTTTTATTATAATGATCTTATGTTTTGTTTCTGGATTGATATTCTCTTATAGGTTAGCTTTGATTTGTCTTAGGTGTTTTGGCTTACATGGGTTCTTTGATCATCATAAGCTTCAACAACTTCAAGATGTGATGAACCCAGATTTCTCAGTTAAAGTAGTGTCTTTTTCCCAATATTCTGAAAAGCTTCTCAATGATCTAACCAGAGAACTAAGGGTCCTAGTCTCTCTCTTTCTCTCATTATGCTTTTTGTTTTCTTCTTTGGTTTATCTTTTAGTGTTTGTCGAGAGTACAAGAATTTGAGGATTATAAAAGGTTGATGCTGAAGTTCACCAGTTGAAAGTTTGTTGCTCCAGGTATTACTTTTTTTTTGTACATCCATTTTATACAAAGCATACATTATGTACAAAATAGAGAAGCCAGATCACCCTACTTGCATAGAGTTTTGAAAACCGGCTTTTACGGGGTATAAAAGCAGGTTGTGACATTAACATGAGTCCACCAATTTTATGTTATGGCTTTTACAATCAATGCAATATGTTCAAATTTATGATGGAAGGATATGGATATGGAATTCAGGTAAGAAGAAACAATAAAATTTGAGAAAGTAGAATATAAATTTGACCAAGATACCTCTATAATAAAACATAATTTATATTTTTAATATTACACACCAATGTAATAATTAGATATTTCGGTAATTCTTTATCATTGATAAGTAAAATTAGCATTTTTTTTACTTTCAAAAATTTTATATCGCCTCATTGTGGTATATTTTCAAAGTGGAAGTGACTAAGTAAATAAATTTTTACTTCATTGTTTTAATTAGAAGTATTTGTTGCTAAAATTATAGTATAATAAATTCATTTATACTATTTTGACTTGTAATTGTAGATAATGAAAACATCCATGTGTTTCTGACGTTGTATGATTTTCTGTTGATGTATTGTATTATATGTAAATTTGAAAGGAGATGATAAAGATTAAATTTAAAAATTATGCATATTACTCTTATATTGAAGTGTCCGCTAAGTATCTATTTATTTTGTCATTACGAATTCTCAAGTATACAAAATGTATCGTATCCGTGTTTCATAGGTTCAAAACTATGTGCTTGTGCATGTACAAATTTTGGTGCTTGGTAATGCCATTTAATTTTGTAGGTTAAGTTCATTCTTCTTGGAGATATGCACAAAAGAATATGCATACTTTCTTAGTTGGAGGGAACAGGGGGGCTCAATTTAGTTCATTTGCTAAGGATAGCTCACTTGATTGCTTAACAATACAATTTATAAATGATGGAAGCACACTCTATATGATAATTTCTGTTGATCAAAGTAATTCCGAGGTTGGGATCTTTCGTATGTATGTGGCTTTCATACCCATATTTTTCCAAGGGTAGAAAATCAATCAAGAATTTTTGAGGTAAAAATTCTTTCTAAATATATTTTTCTAGTTGAGTTAGAGATGGATTTTTTGAACATCTTTTCCCTTTGCCTTCTCTGATTGAAAACCACAAGCGGTAGTATGCGGCGGTGAATGCAAATTTCAATGAATCACTCTTCTGTTGCATATCAACTATGAATATTTTATAACTTTTTAAATCAGTGATTTGACGAAGTCATTATAGATGGATTAAGTAATTGGATAATCATAAAATTAGTACCAAAGAAAAAAAAAAGATATGAACACAGATTCTTCCGATCATCATCTGGTTGGTGCTTAGTGNTTGTCATCTACAAAGCTAAACTTTAATAAAATATATAAGGTGGTATTTTAAGGGAGGGCAACTCTAACCCGTTGATAAGAACCCGACACGAACTCGACATGACACGATTATAAAATTGATACGATTATTAAATATCCAAAATAAATGGTCTACATTAATGTTTGATATTCAGAACACACAAAATGTATTTGTTTTCGTAGATCTTGACATAAACAAGACACGACATGCTAGTCACACAACATGACGTGAATTGACACCCTTTATTTTTCATTTTTTCATATACGATCTATATCTATATTATTTCTAAATGTCAAGATATATGTAAAACTTTTGAATGACTAAATTAGACTTAACAAACTAAAGAATGACAATATTGTCTTTTTCAATTAATAAGTTCGTTAACATTATTATAATTGTGTAAGTTACCATTTTCTCTTTTAGGAGACTCTTGCAATTCTTAACGCTTCCCTTTTTTAATCCATATATCACTCGAAAATCTCAAAACAAAAGACAATGGCAGATGCTACTTTTGCTTAATGGAAGATATTCCACCATTGTTTAGTAAAAAGAGGTTGAACGTTGCTTCTAGAACAAAATAAGCAGATGATGGTTGCGGGTCAATTAATTGCAAAAAAAGACTCGGGGACAAAACAAAACCATTGTTTAGAAAAATTTAAGAATGTTTCATATCGATTTGGATTTTGTTTTATTATAATGATCTTATGTTTTGTTTCTGGATTGATATTCTCTTATAGGTTAGCTTTGATTTGTCTTAGGTGTTTTGGCTTACATGGGTTCTTTGATCATCATAAGCTTCAACAACTTCAAGATGTGATGAACCCAGATTTCTCAGTTAAAGTAGTGTCTTTTTCCCAATATTCTGAAAAGCTTCTCAATGATCTAACCAGAGAACTAAGGGTCCTAGTCTCTCTCTTTCTCTCATTATGCTTTTTGTTTTCTTCTTTGGTTTATCTTTTAGTGTTTGTCGAGAGTACAAGAATTTGAGGATTATAAAAGGTTGATGCTGAAGTTCACCAGTTGAAAGTTTGTTGCTCCAGGTATTACTTTTTTTTTGTACATCCGTTTTATACAAAGCATACATTATGTACAAAATAGAGAAGCCAGATCACCCTACTTGCATAGAGTTTTGAAAACCGGCTTTTACGGGGTATAAAAGCAGGTTGTGACATTAACATGAGTCCACCAATTTTATGTTATGGCTTTTACAATCAATGCAATATGTTCAAATTTATGATGGAAGGATATGGATATGGAATTCAGGTAAGAAGAAACAATAAAATTTGAGAAAGTAGAATATAAATTTGACCAAGATACCTCTATAATAAAACATAATTTATATTTTTAATATTACACACCAATGTAATAATTAGATATTTCGGTAATTCTTTATCATTGATAAGTAAAATTAGCATTTTTTTTACTTTCAAAAATTTTATATCGCCTCATTGTGGTATATTTTCAAAGTGGAAGTGACTAAGTAAATAAATTTTTACTTCATTGTTTTAATTAGAAGTATTTGTTGCTAAAATTATAGTATAATAAATTCATTTATACTATTTTGACTTGTAATTGTAGATAATGAAAACATCCATGTGTTTCTGACGTTGTATGATTTTCTGTTGATGTATTGTATTATATGTAAATTTGAAAGGAGATGATAAAGATTAAATTTAAAAATTATGCATATTACTCTTATATTGAAGTGTCCGCTAAGTATCAATTTATTTTGTCATTACGAATTCTCAAGTATACAAAATGTATCGTATCCGTGTTTCATAGGTTCAAAACTATGTGCTTGTGCATGTACAAATTTTGGTGCTTGGTAATGCCATTTAATTTTGTAGGTTAAGTTCATTCTTCTTGGAGATATGCACAAAAGAATATGCATACTTTCTTAGTTGGAGGGAACAGGGGGGCTCAATTTAGTTCATTTGCTAAGGATAGCTCACTTGATTGCTTAACAATACAATTTATAAATGATGGAAGCACACTCTATATGATAATTTCTGTTGATCAAAGTAATTCCGAGGTTGGGATCTTTCGTATGTATGTGGCTTTCATACCCATATTTTTCCAAAGAATTTACTAATTTCCAAGGGTAGAAAATCAATCAAGAATTTTTGAGGTAAAAATTCTTTCTAAATATATTTTTCTAGTTGAGTTAGAGATGGATTTTTTGAACATCTTTTCCCTTTGCCTTCTCTGATTGAAAACCACAAGCGGTAGTATGCGGCGGTGAATGCAAATTTCAATGAATCACTCTTTTGTTGCATATCAACTATGAATATTTTATAACTTTTTAAATCAGTGATTTGACGAAGTCATTATAAATGGATTAAGTAATTGAATAATCATAAAATTAGTACCAAAGAAAAAAAAAGATATGAACACAGATTCTTCCGATCATCATCTGGTTGGTGCTTAGTGCATTAAATTTTTTAAGAAATGGCCAGACAAACTGGAATTAACGAGTTAATATATCAAGTACACGTAGTCCTAATTAATTGGCGTTTACACTTGCCCAAAAATTGTTAAGCAAATTGTTATTTTGATGAAAGGAATAAAACATTTAAATTTGTTTGCCTTTTGTGTGGGGTTGTTAGAGATTCTTAAATTGAACAACATGAGTGTATATTGACTCAAAGATAGCTCTGTTTCAATGACTATATATGTCATTGGTTCACAATGTCTCTTGTGAGAATGCTACAAACTTAGTATATACCTCATATACGGAGCTTTTGTCGTAATTATTTTTTATTATGTGGATAAACATGTGTATGGGTTCATTAGCATGTTACAAACTTCATCTATATTGTTATACACGAGGATAAAATAACTTTATTTTAATCTATAATTTTTGCAATTTTCTTGTAAAACTTTATTATTAACTGATTATAATTACCGATTTTTACTAAAATGTGCGTTTCGGAGAAAGTGGTGTGGGGCTTCAATTTACAATATTCGATATGTAAAATGATCCACGTGTGTGTATCAACTAGTTTATTAAAATGAGAATACTATTTATTTTATTTATACTATATGGGATTTTTAGGATTTATGCTCAAATGCCACTTTGAATTATGGTGAGACCGCCAACATAATATCACGGCTCCACCTCGCCCCTACCTTTATATATGCATACGCTCCTCCTCCAACCCTAACCCTTCCACCACTCGCTCTGCCTCTCCTAAAACCCTAGCCTCTCTATCTCTCTCATCAAACAATGGAGTTTTGGGGTAATACTCAAGATTTCTCCACTACCTCTCTGTTTTAGTGTATTTTTCTTATTTTGTGCGTGTACTGTGTTACAACGCCGTTCTTTCATTTCTTGATGTTACAGTGTTAATGATTAGTGGTTTGATTTTGATTCGGCTTTTAGTGTTCATATGTTACAAATCTACATACATATACATATATATTATTTGTATATTTATTTGTTTGTAGTTATTTTTTGAGGTCTGGCTAGAGTTTGAGGAGGATGTGATATCTAATAAGTAGTCACTCGTTAAGTATATTTGCTTAATGGGCCTGAGAAATCGATGATGACTGGAATTTTAAATGATTGTTCAGATGAATTTTGAGATGAAGATGATGCTTATAAGGTCATCCATCATATGCCATTTGTGTGATAGAAAGCGACATTAATATCAATATGAGAAATCTAGTCTTGAAAGTTCTTCACTTTTACGTTAAGAGTTTCTGAGAAATATATATATGGATTGTTAACACACATGTATCAGTAATGATTGGTAAACGTTATTCACTTTTGCTGTTGTTTCTGTTCTTTTATTTCAGTTTGTGTCGTGGTACCTATTTTAAGTTGATATCTTCCGAGTTTACATTATTGAAACTTGAATCTCTCTTAACATGTTATGTCCAGGTGCTGAGGTCAAAAGTGGACAGCAACTTCCGGTAGAGGCCGGGGAAGGGATAGTTTTGCATCTTTCGCAGGTATAGTAAAGGGCCTATAACTTCCTTTGAAGAAATTTATTTATTTCTTACGCAATGTATACTTATGACTGTGGTGAACTATATTTATGATGCACTCTCCTGTAGGCATCTCTTGGGGAGGTCAAGGGAACGAAAGGAAATGAATCTGTTAGCCTCTTTGTGAATGTTGATGGCAAGAAGCTTGTTCTCGGAACACTTTTTTCGGACAAGTTACCTCAGCAGCAATTTGACTTGGTTTTTGATAGAGATTTTGAGCTATCCCACAACTGGAAAAATGGGAGTGTCTACTTTTATGGATATAAACTTAACAATGCTGTTGATGAATATCCTTTATGTTTCTGTTTTTCATCTCTGTCTTTTGTTTGTGTTCTATATGTTACCACTTCTTTTTCCCCCTGGTCTTTACTGGCGTACAAATTAGTTGTTGTTTACTTATGTTTGCTGTGGTCTTCCTTGACTTCCTTCCTTTTGGAATGTCACTTCTGAGGATGACAGTTTTGGTAAGTTTGTAAGCCTTTAATTCTTTGAATTCTTTTTGTGACGTCTTGTTATTTGCCAGTGCGCTGAAATTACCCTATGTTACTCCCAGAGTCTGATTCTGAAGATGAGCTTCCTCTCCCTGTTGCAAACAATGGTATAATTTGTACAGTTTCTTTTTCTTTCTTATCTGTATAAATTTATTGCATTATATCCTCCGAATTTCTTGAACTCTGATTCATATTTTCATATTTGACTTCTTAGGAAAGCCTGAGGCTCCGGTTAAGCAAAACAAACCTAACGCAACTGAGAAGGCTAATGCTGTGAAGGATTCTGCTGCTGGTAAGCAGAAGGTGAAGATTGTGGAGCCAAATAAATTTGTGAAACCCGAGGAAGATGATGATAGCAGTGATGAGGATGCCTCGATGGATGATTTGGGATCGGATGAGGTACATTCTAACCACAGTTTTTTACCTTTCTGTTTTGTCTTTGCTTAGCATTTTACTTGAGAGTTTTGCATAATTGCATCTGGAATAAGCATTTGACAGTTGTTTGAGCCTGTTATGGTTTTTACTTCAAGAAGTGGACACTCTGAATTTGTGAAGTTACTAGTGTGATTGTGTTATTCTTTTTATCTGACCTGAAATGTTCTTTTTGGGTGATGTACTTCTTATAAGATGTTAATGTGAGTCATACAAATGAAGGAAGTTAATTGTAATTTGTAAAGTTATTAGTGATTAGGATTGCCCACTTGGGCTTGTTTTTACCACCTAAATCCACCATCTTCATTTGGTGATGTTTGAAATTGGTTAACCCCTATTTGTCATAGTTTTGTATTGCATAGGATGGAGAAAATAATTAATTCTTTTTACTGCTAGTATATGAAAAGTGTTTTATGCTAACACATTTACGATTCTACCTAAGATTGTGGTCTAAAATATCTTGTTCGTCATCTGGATTTGGAAAACCCCTTATTAGTCTCTAGTAGGTGCGTCTTCTGAACACCCCCCCTCCCCCCTCCCAAAATAAAAAAAAACAATTTTTTTCCCAGCTCTTTCCATGACGGTGCCTGTGAAGTACTTGAATTTAACTCACTTTTCTGGAAATGATTTAGTGCTGGTAAGGATTATCAGGAAACATGTTTATAGCAGCAGGTCCATGAATTATTTTTTAGTAGTTATTATTTTTGCTGTCATATTGGTTAATGTATGTGATTTGTGTGCCAAAATGGGGGGAATTGAAATGAATTATTTAAATATTTTGTTCCCTAAATGATCTAAAACCATGATGACACTTGTCATATTCTGTTAAATGCCCAGTGAAATTGGAAAGAAATGCTTTTTGCATTTAGGTTGTGAAGTTGTAAAATTTAATTCTAGTTGGATTTGTGGTGCTTGATGGAACTGCAAGATATGCTATTTGACATAACCCCTTGTCTAAAAGTAGCTAATTGTCTGGTGGTCTTTGGTTCAGGATGATGAGAGTGACTCTGAGGGTGAAGATGAAAGCGATGAAGAGGATGAGGAGACACCAAAAAAGGTAAGTGTGACTGTGCAACATCTGTCTTCTAACCTTTTGCATTTCATTGGGCATGGGTATGTTGATACTTCTCTACACTTTGTCATGGTTAAGTTATATTTGTTTCTTCTGAAGGTTGAACTTGGCAAGAAGAGAACTGCAGAATCGGCTACCAAGACACCTGGTCCTGATAAAAAGGCGAAAATGAATACTCCTAAAAAAACTGGTGATTTTCATGTTTTCTGCTATTATTATTTTCCCACCTTTAATTAAACTTGAATTTTCTTATCTTCCACCACTCCACCCCCTCCCACTTTTCTTCTGTTCCCGTTGGAATTTTCTCATCACAATACTATAAACTAGCACCGCCCTTTCACAGCGAGTAGTGACCTGCTCCTCCTGTCTTCTTTTACTTTCCATGCTCTGGTATTTTAGTTGATGATTCTGGTAGACTGTGTATCACACCAAGTCGTTAATTAAATATGTGGGGGCACTGACACGTTAATTTATTGTACTTGAAAAGAATATGTTTGGTATGATTGATTGTGCTCATAAATTTATGTAAAATGGTTTGTAAACAATATTTATGGACTACAGTTGAAGTTGTAGTTGTCAATGCTAGTGGTGTTTGTTTTTGGTGGGATTGAGTATTACCTGTTGTTGGTGCAGATGGGAAGAAAGTTGCTCATGTAGCTACACCTCACCCTTCAAAACAGGCTGATAAAACTCCTGCGATGAAGTCAAATCAGCAGACTCCAAAATCGAGTGATGTAGTTTCCTGCAAGTCTTGCAGCAAGTATGTATCTCTCTTGGTTCTTTTTGTTCTTTCTAAAATGTTATAGAAACTATGGAGCTCAACCTTTTCCTTGCAGGACATTTGGTACGGAAAAAGCACTAGAATCCCATACGAAGGCTAAGCACTCGGCTGGAAAGTAATAGGTATTTGAAAAGAAATTTGGAAGTCCTGCTTCAATTTTGTCACCATGCTTCGTATGAATTGAAGGCTAGTTTTGTAGTTGGTTTGTAGTGGTTGAGCACAATGTAAAATCATGACGTTGTTTGTTAGTTATTACTTTATGTTCCCCTTTGACTTCTATGTCAACTTGCTTTAGGTTTTACTTCAGTTAAATTCACCAGGGTTGGATTAATTTTATTTTTTTTCCGTCTGGATGTTTGAATCATTAATTGGCAATATAATTGATAGTAGTTATCCCTCTATGTTTGACTTTGCGTTATTCCTGTTGTTCCAAATGTTAGATTTTGAGTGACTTCGGCCTCCTTATAGTAGTACTATAGTTAGTTATGTAAAGAGTATATATGAGATGATAGAAATAGAATGATGGAGCCAAGGTACTATCATGATGAAGTGAAGGTATTGTATGACATTATCGCTTGTGGAATCAAGAGGGGTTGGTTGATGGAAATACAGATTCAGATCGTTTTTTGGTACACCTCCGTTAAATTTTTTTTTTTTTTTTGATGGTACACTGTGCACTGGTATGGTTGAGAGATCAACTTATAAGTAGTGAATCTTATTTGTATAAAGTTACTGTTTGGTGTATTTTTGAATTGCGTGACTAAGCTTGATTAGATTTAAGATCTAAGCAAGTACAATTTTACCTACTTGAATCGGTGTGGAGTTTTTAAATTATGATTGTTCAGGCACAAGATGTAAGTTTGTCTCAGTTCTTTTCTATGCTTTGGGGATTAAGGATTTAAATAATTTTCAATTGATAATGTAATAGATTAGAATGTATAAAGACAACAACTAAAATGTAATGTACTAGAGAGACTAAACTTGGTAGATGAAAAGATTATTGTATTTCACATTAAACGGAAAAGAAAATCACTAGAGTGATAAATTACGGGTTGAAGTTAAAGAAAGAGAGGATGGAGTGATAGATTACAGGTTGAAGTAAATTTGTTAAGAAAGAAACTAAGTTAAAGAAAGAGAGGATGGAGTGATAGATTACAGGTTGAAGTAAATTTGTTAAGAAATAAACTAAGTTAAAGAAAGAGAGGATGGTTTTATGTAGAGTTGATGGTCTTGCTTTGTTATCTATAGGAGATATCCCATAACTGCTGAAGTCATATTTTTGAGCCATAAGTGTAATCATGTTCTCTTCTCTCAAGATATATAGACGTGCACCGAACCATCTCTAGACGATGGTTCATAATGTTACGTTTTTCGTTTTTTGGGATTTTTAAAGTGTCACTTCCTTGATTGTCCTGTTAGACTTAGATTATCACTGACTCTCTGTTGAACGTTAGATCATTTTCATGTATTAGTCTTAGATTTTGCTAATTTAAGTATAAACAATTACTTGAATTCGTTGGAGATGATTTATGATTAAAATAAATTAAGGAAAAACTGCATTTGATCATCACATATTTGGTTGACCGTTATAGTTGTTCCAGAATAATCAGACTTTAGTCTTATCAAATAATGGGTAAGCTGAGATGCAGGTTTTTTTCATTCTCTTGATGGAGTCAGTCCTATATCATGATTTCAACTTTTATTTATGAGTGATCATTTATTATTTAACAAAATTAAGAAAAACTTATTAGAGAAGATCTAAATTCCAAACATGTTTTTCTTAGAAATTAAATTACATTTCAAAATGACTATCCCCACCCCATTATTGTTGCCTCATGGACCTCCTGTAAATTTACTGACCCGCACAAAAGGTTGCTAAGCTTGCTTTAGGCAACCCGGTTCAGGTGGATACTGATCTACCTATTGCCAACTGTATAGACTCTTCGGGCATATTTGGATGGTTTTGGGTAGGAGGATTGTTTTTTAATTATATGTGACCCACAGATTAACTATACCTTTCCTAAGTCAACATCAAGCTTACAATAATAAGGGATTGTTTGTTTGTTTGATTGGTTTGGGTGGATTTAGAAGGGTATGTCTAAGTAAAATAGTTTGATATACCACTTAATCCCATATTTGGTTAAAAAGTTTAAACTTGAGATTCATATCCCGACACCTAACCGACCTAGACAATTTAATTCTTGGGGGTGGGTTTGAAATCAATCAACCTAGGATATAATGGTAAAATGACTTTTCTATCCCTAATCTATGCAATTACAAAGGATTGGATAGGGCAGTTTAGTTAATTAGATGACAAAAAGATTGGTTATAAGAAAGGTTATGGATCCACCCCCGCCCGGCCATTGCCAGTGGTTACGATCTCATAAGACGGCTAGTCAGCTTTGATAAAGGATGGGCACTTGATGCATAAAATTTGCATTCTTCTAATAGGAAATCATCTAATCCCTATCGAGTGTGATACGTACGACACTGCATATAATTCATTAATTCATTCATGGGAGAACGCTTCAGTCTTCATCCAGTCTTGAATAGAATGGTTTTTTTTTTTGGCTTGTGAAAGAAGGATAGAAGGGGGATCACTACATGTGAAATTCCTTCCAAGGTGCGACTAAATAAAAAGAACTCACAAGCACTTCTTAAGAACGACCTTAACTAGGCCCAGCTCCACTAAACTATCAAATACAATCCTCTATTGCCGGTAAATCAGACATGAGACATAAACTTTATGCTCTATTTGATATGATGAAAAAATAGAAGGATAGAAAATTGGAAGAATAAATAAAATATCATGTTTGGTAAGGATGTAAAAATGGATGGATTAACTTTTTTTTTAACTCACAAAAATCAATCCTTCCAAAATCNCGTAAATCAGATATGAGACAAACTTTATGCTCTATTTGATATGATGAAAAAATAGAAGGATAGAAAATTGGAAGGATAAATAAAATATCATGTTTGGTAAGGATGTAAAAATGGATGGATTAACTTTTTTTTTAACTCACAAAAATCAATCCTTCCAAAATCGGAAGGAAAGTGGATGAAAAGTTAATTATTCGTGTTGATATGTATCTTATTTGTCTATTTATTATGTATACATTAATTTCATATAACAATATAATGATAATATATATATATATAATTAAAAAAATTAAAATTAATCAAATTTAAAATTTTTATTTTAATTTTAATTAAAAATATATATTTGTTTTCATCTTAACACGATTACACAACTCGAACTTGACACGAATTTTATGATACGAACTTGATTATAACTCGACATGAACTTAAAAATGATCTGATACGCAAACAAAAAAATATAAAAGACTTATAATTTTATAACTCAACACGAATCTGACATGATACAACTCGATTNCACGCAAACAAAAAAATATAAAAGACTTATAATTTTATAACTCAACACGAATCTGACATGATACAACTCGATTGTCACTCTTAATATTAGAAAAAAAAATTAAAAAAAAATTTGGCCATTTTTATTTTCGATCAGTCCAACCAAACACAAACAGGATTGTGTATCATTCCTACTTTCTATTCTTAAAAAATAGAAAATTTATTCCTCCTACTTTCTATTCTTAAAAGATATAAAATGTATCTCTCTCACTTTTCATCCTTCTTACTTTCCATCTTTCCCACCAAACAAAGCATTAATAGCTCAGCCAAGACCCTTAAAAGGGCGTTAAGTGCCGTTGGACCACTTGGCTTGGTGGATGGATTTAAAAGTCACNACTCAACACAACACACACACAGATCTGTGCATATATATGCACAGCTTCTGGGTTTCACAGAGAACAGGGAGAGAGGAGATAGAGAAAGCCAGCGATGGAGGTGGGTTTCACAGCTTCTGGGTTTCACGGAGGCAGAGGTAGCAATGGAGGTGGGCAATGGGCCAACGATTTGTCTGGTGGTCTGATACGGAGAAAGGAGAGAGGAGGGAGAGAGACAGAGAGAAGTGATGGAGAGGAAAGAGGAATGAAATGAGTTTTTATACTTCAACAAAAAAAACATTTTTTTTGCTGTTAAGAGGAGTCAAAGTCCGAATCTCATTAATTCCCCACCCTTTTTGCGCATGTTCTCTTTGTTTTTGGTGTTCCTTAGAACATCTTTTTTTTGTTCCAATTTTTTGTCTTTGTTTCCAAACAACTAATGTAAAACAAAAACAAAAACAGTATCTAAACATATTTTTGTTTTCATTTTTGACAAAAATTGAAAACAAAAATGCAAAACACAAGACAAAGACAGTAAACAAACAACCCCAAAATTTTTCTTCCTTATACTCAATTTCATTATCACTTTGAAAATTTTTGACTTTGGTATTAGACTGAGTACTCACCATTTTATGGAAAGATCTAAAGCATGAGAAAACTTCACATTTACTGTGAAATAGGTAAACTCAAGTAAGTCGAGAATAACAATT